TGTGATTTCACAGGTAAATTCAATGTTGGAACTGAACCAAGTTTCAATGTTTTGCGACCAGATTCTATAAATGTATATCAATCAATATATTTTGTCTTTAAAAGTTGCACGCACACACACACACATATATATATATACAATAGTGAGGGACATTTACAAACAGTTATAAATATATATATACATATACAAACAGTTATATATACATACATATATATATATATATATATATATATATATATATATATATATATATATATATATATATATATATATATATATTGCCTAAGGAACCTTTGGGTTGTGTTATTCTCACATAGCCCAACTAATGATTCATACAGTAACTAGAAACATTTAGCTGTTTACCTTGCAAATATGTTACAAGCCTCAGGCATTTTGCAGAGGGTAATTAAGAATCAAAAGGTGCATACTTAATTACTTAAATACATATATACATACCATACATACATACATATATATATATATATATATATATATATATATATATATATATATATATATATATCATATATATATATACATATATATATACTATATATATATATATATATATATATATATATATATATATATATATATATATATATATATATATATATATATATATATATATATATATATATATATATATATATATATATATATATATATATGTATGTATCCGTGGTTCGAACCCCACCCTAGGCGAGTTTTGCGACATCGGTTGGAAAGTAGGCATGAACTTCCTATTAAACGCTCTTCCGCGGTGCTCTGTGATAAGACCGTAAGGACTTCTTGGGGCATCTAAAATCAACATTAAAAATAAATAAATAATTGAATAAATAGACCATTTTTATCTATTTTGCTGTATCATACAAAATTGATTTTTCCTTTTTAATATATGTTTTCAGCCTCCCCAGCTTTCGTGACCTTCATACGCCACTGCACCTATCAGTATATAAAATCAATGGGATTACACTTTAATGCATAAAAATAAGGTAAATAAACATAATCCACATTTTTTTCTCTAAGAAATATTCTTGGAGTGATTTCTAAAATGTAAAAATTAAAAAAAAGTCTACCAAAAGAATTCAAGTTGGAAGGGGGGGGGTGAGGGGTAGAGTGATACAGAAATTGATAAATTTTAGTAGAGATTCATTAAAAAACAAAATTTGATAAATTAATTGCTTAGAACACATGCAACATTACTTATTAATTAATAAAGGTTGGTATCAAGGGTCCTTCTAGGAATAAAATGAGAGGGGTGAATCCTTTAAAAGTACCGACTGCTTTCAAAAAAAAAAAATGTCCTTAAAACTAAAAATCACCTGACTGAAATGTGTTAAATTCCCGACTATAAACAAACCTATTGCACCTTCTAACATCGATCCTGTCCGCTTTCTCAATGCTATCTTTCTAACACGAATACTTTTGTCTTTCACTATAACATATCTTCGTTCTTCCCAAAATCACTTTACTCTTGGTCCGTAGAGCGGGTTATGAGGCTCCTTGGGGAGCCGAACCTGTCTTTGCGGGCCTTGGTAATGTGGCCTCTATATGGCAATTAGCCGGAGGAGGATAAACCACAATACCAAAAAAGGTAATTTATTATTATTTTTTTTTCTTAGTTCTAAATTGTTGTATTTTTTAGACTAGATGCTAAAATATAATTTATAACTACATTATCAGTAGGTGTCACGTGGGGTGCCATTACAACTTTTGCGACTAAAAAAAAAAAGGTTCTCGTTTTTTATAATTTGCTGACTGCCCTCTAACTGCCAAAACTACATTTGCCGATTGACTGTCTAAATTTACCGACTAATCTGTCGAAATCGTCTACATTTGCCGACTAACTAGTCAAAAAGGGTCAAATTTGCCGACTAAAATCATTGATGAGGGGGGTGTCACACCCCCATCGCGCCGGCCTTGTACATTATACTGCGTGTTATTAATAGTATGAAAAAAATTTGAAGTACACAATAAAATGTTTTTTAATTTATTAAAAAACATTTTAGTGTGCACGAATTTTTTACACAGAATACTAGGGTGGAATGCAAGAAGCGAACTTGAGTCAAGCTCGACTTGAACTTTAGATTGCAACCAATAGTGAAAGAGTATGGGTTTGCCCCTCAAAAAATGCTCTGCTGCTATTGGTTACAAAGTAAAGTTCAGCTCGAACTTGACTCAAGTTTGCTTCTTGCATTCCACCCCTAATTAATGTGTTTTATAGATAAGTAATTTCCTTTTTATAAATAGATAATTTATAAATTTATCTATATCATATTAGCTCAACACAGATATTCCACAATTGAATCAGCACATATGATTATGGAAGATTGTGAGGATAGTGAAGATAATGATATTGAAGATTTGGATTCATTTTTTGCTTATACTACTACATCTTCAAGTTTGACAGCATCAGAATCAGGTTCAGAAGATAATAACACTGAAGAAAGTGATGACGATCAGTTTACAGACGTTCATCTAGCAGCTACTGCAGAAGATTTTTTAATTCCGTCAAAAAGAGCTAGAACAACGGGTGGTCTTGCTTATTGACAAAATCAAAATAAAGCTCAACAAGTAGATCTTATAAGAAATATTTTGCCTCACGAAACAACTTCTGAAACAAATCCATCTTGAAACTCAAACCAATGGACAGATGAGCCAAATATTGTAAAACAAATTCAATTTACTGCCAATCCTGGTTTGAAGATAAACATGGAGAGCAAGAAACCATTAGATTTTTTTAAACTATTTGTTACAGAAGAGTTTATAAATACTATGGTAGTTGAAATTAATCGCTACGCAACGCAAGAAATAAATAAGCAGCGTCCGCTCAGAAGGAGTTCACGTTTTAAAGATTGGAAACCAATAAATTAAGAAGATATGCGGCAGTTCCTTGGAGTTCTTCTTCATATGGGGTGTGTCAAAATGCCATCTTTAGAACACTACTGGTCTAAGAACAGTCTCTATAGATTTCCCTTATTTTCTAGAATAATACCACGAAATAAATTCCAACTAATGTTACGGTTTTGGCATTTTATTAACAATGAAGATCGGGTAGCGGACGGTTGTGTAAAATTATTGGATTTCTTTAATATTCTTTAATAAAAAATCATTTAAATAATACAATGGATAATATCTACTGTCCTAATAAAAATATATCAATTGATGAATCAATAATGCTTTGGAAGGGACGTCATATATTTAGGCAGTATGTGAAAAATAAAAGACATAAGTATGGTATCAAATTCTATGAGCTTTGCGAATCAGATGGTATTGTAATAAAAGTAAAAATATACACTGGCGAGGTAACTCCCAATAAACATTTGTTGGGTCAAACGGGAGCTATTGTTTTAGATTTAATGGAAAAATTTTTGAGAAAAAGTTATCACTTGTACACCGATAACTTTTACAATTCTTTTGAACTAACAAAGCACATGATAAATCAAAAAACATACATTTGTGGTACTTTAAGAACTGACCGAAAGTCAAATCCAAAAGAATGTACAAAGCAAAACTGAAACAGGGAGACATTATAAGCAGAAGCAGAGAGGGTATAGTGGTTGCTAAGTGGAAAGACAAAAGAGAAGTGCTAATGATTAGCAACTTGCATTCGTTGCAAATGATTGAAGTGACAAACAGGAGAGGAGAGAACAAAATGAAACCCAACATTATTAAAGATTACCATCAATCAAGGCCGGCGCTATAGGGGTGTGTGGGGATGTGACACCCCCCCCCCCATCAATGGTTTTTAGTCGGCAAATTGGACCCTTAGTTGGCAAATTTGACCCTTTTAAAGTAGTTAGTCGGCAAATGTCGACCCTTTTGATATAGGTTAGTCGGTAATCTAGACAGTTGGCAAATGTCGTCATGGCAGTCGGGAAATTTTGGAAAACGAGGACTTTTTTTTTTTAGTCGGCAAAATGTAATAGCACCCCCCCCCCCCACGTGACACCTACTCGCGCCGGCCCTACCATCAATGTATGTCAGAAGTAGATAGGGTGGATCAAATTATGATATAATGATATAAATAATCATATTATGATTGCCTAAGAAAGTCAATTAGATGGTATAAAAAAGTAGCACTTCATCTCTTTGATTTTTTTATGTTTAATGCTTTCTGTCTAAACAGCAAATATGGAGTAGATAAAACAGTTTCCTTGCTTAAATTTAGAGAAATAGTTGTTACGGATTTATTGGGTGAACGTTTGAATGAAATTGTGCCTCGAATAATCAATAATAGCTTCCACTACTTGTTCAATACCACCGAATCAAAAGAAAAAGTTCTCAACAAAAACATTTCGAGTCTGCACTAAAATAAAACGTAAAGAAACACGATATAAGTGTGCTATTTGTGAAAATAAACCTCTATTATGTATTGGTGAATGTTTCAGAATGTATCATTCAAAAGAATAGGTTTACACTTTAATTTTCATGAAATAAAATTAAAACAATATCAATATTTTACTTTTATCTGTTTTAAGCTACTTCTGTCTTTATCCGCATTTAAATTAGGTTCCCGGGATTTTTAAAATAAAAATTTTAATGTAATCTTTCCTGAAATCAAATGTGAAGCTAAGAAAAAAACATTTATAAGAACAGACAAAGCCAGTCATGTACAAATATTATTTGAAATAAGTTAGCATAACTACGAGTTTACTCGTAGTTGGCAAACTCATGACGCCGGCTTACTACGAGTATACTCGTAGTTGGCAAGTAAATAACGCCAAAATACTACGATTAATCTCGTAGTTGGCAGCGAATAGGTTAAATTTGTAAAAGGGCCCTTAAATTTGCAAATGAGTGCCCTAAACTTGCTGCACCTCCCTTCCCCCCCCCCCATCCACTAAGAGGTAAATTGTAACCTCGCCACGGCTCCGATAACAAGTTTTGTTAAATTCTTTAAACATTACAAAAGGGAAATAGAATCCTATTAACGTCACGATCTGTCAAATTATCTTTTTTAACAACACGATAAAAAAAAGGGACACGAATGCGTATTAACTGTTAAAATTCTAAACACAGAAATAAAAATAAATAATATTATTTTAACTGATTCAAACTTAATTATATCGGCCCTTGTTCAAATAAGTCTCAAAATGAGTAGCACTTTTGACAGGAGTAAACAGTTTTACAACTTTTTCGAGAATAAAAGTTTAAACTTTTTAAATGTTTATTTGTTGGAGTTTGTTTTCAATCATTTGCATTGGTAAGTATAATAAATTCGCTTTGATTTTGAATTGTCGGTCTATAATGCAATTATTTTATCACTTGTTGAAAAATTAAAAAAAAAAATAAACTTTTAGGTTCAAAATTATCATGTAAAATTGAAAAAGAACTATATAAATACAATTCCTTACCTTTAATATTTAAATTAGACTTTAGGTTAAAAAATTGAATCACTATGCTATCACTATATATAATATGCTATCACTGTATACATTACCACTGCTATCACTATATACACTACCACTAGATGCTATTGCCAATAGCAAAAGCATCTAACTAGTCTAGGTTCTGTTAATAATATTAGGCCTTCATTAATAATGAAGGCTTAATATTATTAACAGAACCTAAACTAGTTAATTACTTTAATTTAAAGTGCTTGATAGGTATGTGGATTGAAATTTGGTGGATGTGAGTAGGTATGTGGATTGAAATTTTTAAACTGATCAAATTTTTAAACTGATCAAATTCAACGTTGTTATATATCATTAAAAGGAGCATAAGTTCAATATTTCAAAATTGAGAAAATTATCAAAATCGGACAATTCTAAAAAAAGTTATGACATTTTAAATACCAAATTTTGAATATATGGATTTGTTGAAGAAACTGTGGTCAAAATTAAGTTTTTATTAACTAAAAATAATGTTACTTTATCAATTCATATCTAAATGCTTATAACTTGGTATCAAAAGAGAGGCGTAGCAATGGGCTACAAATGTAAAATTACCTCTACCCACCAGGCGTATCCAGGGGGTAGAGGGGTTGCTGAACCACCATCTTAACCATCAAAAAATGTGTATTTTTTCTATAGAAAAACGTTTTTTTTGAGAAATCAGTAATTTTTATTTACGAAAAACTATTGTAATTTTCTTTCAGACCGCCAAATATGAAAAGTGTATTTTTATATTATGGTGGATCGCCACTTTCTTACTCCAGATTCTATTCTTTATTTCTATAAATCTCAAATCCATCCTAGTATGGAATACTGTTGCCATATCTGGGGCAGATCTTCCAATTATGCTTTTTCTCTTTTAAATAAGGTAAAAAAACGCATTATAAACTTAGTTGGACCTGTTTTTGCAGCCAACCTCCAACCATTATCACATGTTGCTTCTCTTTCTATTTTCTACAAATATTATAATGGGCACTGCTCTAAAGAGGTAATGTCTCTTGTAAATTTACTACTTTACAATATATACTTGTGGCGCACAATCAACTCGGAGGAAGAGGGTGTGTTCTCTACCACCCCCCACCCCAACCTAAAAATAAATTTTTATTTTAAAATCATGTTTAAAAAAAAAATTAAAATACTATAATTAGAAATGATAGATTTAAATTTAACAACACTTTTTACAAGTTTTAGTTACAACTTTACAAGATGCATCATGGTCATCCATTTTTCAGAGGAAAGAGCCAGCAACCCCCTCCAACCTGAAAATTTAAATAGAACATTTTAAAGTAACATTTTAATCAATTTGTGTCTTGGCTTTTTTAGTTAATGATTAAGATAATAAATTCTATTAATAAAACT